GAAATGTGTTCATCAGGGATGGGGGCACAGGCAAAGAGTCTAAGAGAACCAGAAGTTCATAGCTTATGCAGCAAAATGCTCTCATGCAAATTAATGCATGTCATTGAAGTACAACAGCTGATAACTTCCTATTTTTTTCAAGTAAATGCTATCAAAACCTCCGCTCTACAATTGATGATGGCACAGCAAAGAAAAGTCTGAGACAGTTGGATCTAGAAATTTTAAGGCACAACACCATTTTATACACCAAGACCTGTCCTGCTTTACATGGTACGTGTTTTAAAGAATGACCAAATGCTTGAAATAGCTCCCTAGTGAATCACAGTGTACAGAAGTGATTCAGAGATGATGAGTCTCTAAATTTGGCTGGGCCAGAAGTTCATTGTTACACTGTGCACCCACCCACGTCTCACATTCTCCCAGTACTGCTAAAGTGAAAACTAGCTTTTAGTAGCTTATGCTTAATAATTTCTGCCTCAAGTTCTCATAAGTTTGTGTCCACTACACACCAGAGTAATTTCCTTAGAAGGCACTTCTTACAGAGATGCCTTAAATACCACCATGCCTAAGTCACAAGTTTGAGGAAAAAGCAAGTTAGCCCCCCAAATCGTCATTTCTTTCTCCTAAGCTCAGACACTTGCTACAACTTAGGAACTAAAACATCCAAGGATTTCATCCTCCCAAAGCACAATCCATTTTCTCCAAGCACTTTATACACATCCTGGGGCAACTGAGTTGGATCAAGCAATGGCAGCAAACCCTAACTTTGTAATCAGTGTATTTACTGTGGGACTGGAGCAGGATGCAGCTCGCTCTCTCAGGTACCCTCACCAACTCCATCTCTCCACCCTAAATGCAAACACAAGGGGATGAAGAAAGACCTGCCATTCAAATATTAACACCACCAGTTGGACAGAACTACTCCTCACAGAAGAATAAGAACTGTTATCAGTCAGCAAGTTACTTGAAGGAACCAAGACCTGAGCAGTTATTCTGCTAGTTCTGATGCTATGTGACTTTTTAAGCTTAGAAGAATATGCTTCAAGGTAAAACTGAACACTACTACACTAAAAAAAAAAAAAAAAGTGGAAACCAGCAAGGTTGCAAACCTTCTCTTCACACATCCACTGCAGTGGATGTGCACTGTAAGAGATTAGCAACCCATGCCTGAGAAAGCTTAAAGCCTGAAGTGTTAGTCAAGCCCACTCTGAAGGGTAGATGTCTTAAGGCATTAAGCACAGTAAACCCTCTCCCAGGCTGGTGGTGCTGCTCACATGAACTGCTCTCCAGCTGAACCTGTGGAAATGCAGTTCCTTCGTGCCCTGCTCCTCCTCCTCTCTCTGCTCCCCACCCTCAGCAGAGCACAGAAACAAAGCGGTGCAGAGTCAGCAGCAGCCAAGCAACTCCTTTCAAACTAAGCAAAATTCTTGGAAATAGAAACATTCTGGTTTGATGCCAGAAGATTAGTTCCTGACTGAATTTGTTACTGTGCCAATGAGACATTCAACAACCATAACCCATAGTAAGTGGAGTAGGCAAGAGCAAAGGGATCAATATTCAGGACCCAAAACACAGGTGAGTTTTTTCAAGAAATGGCAGTTTTCTCCACTACCCAAGGGCTGTGGCATCGCCCCAAAGCACCCCCTGCAACACAGCCAATCCCTCCTCCCTGGTCAGACCCTCAGCTTTGCTACTCCTGCAGCTGCACTGATGCCAATAAAGGCTGTAATCATGCTAACTGAAATCCTTCTTTTGAACTGCTGCCATACTCCATTAAATAACTTAAGACCAATGTTTTTATCAGAGAGCTGATCTTACATTTGATCCTTGTGTAAAATAATCCTGAGGGGCATTGCTTTAACACAGCCAAAACAGCTTTTCTCAAGTGAAGCTCAATCCAGAAAACTAACTTTCCATTAGCAGTATGTTACCAAGAGGAAAAGATGATCCTGCACTTAACAGCCTTAGTATCGTGCCAGGATCTCAACTGCTTCTCAGATCTCCTCCTGTGAGTTTAGCACTGAAGAGCCATAGGAACACAGCACACAGCTCTGCACCAGCAGCTGCAGAAGGAACCAATTGCATGGGGTGAATTCTGAACTGTCACCCACTCCTTCCTCATTTCTCCTTTCCCCAGCCCTAAAATACACTAAAAGACAGCCATCATCCTGTATGCATTTATACAGATCTCACTCATATGTCAAATGGGAAAATAATTATAGAAGGAAAGAGAAAAAGAGGGAAATGGCTAAATATTTTGATTTAGATAAAAGCTTCTCTTTCCAATTGTACTTCAAGTTTGGACCAAGGGTCTTCAGTACTGTTGAGCAAGGCCATCTGCCTCATTAGATTCCAAATAACTTTTTATATTAAGAGGAAGTAAGTATTTGGGAAACCATGTTGGAAAGCTGTTTGAAGTGACACTTCCACCATCTAGGTACAACAAAATCCTGGCAGTCAAATCAATTACTTATTCTTGCAACTCCACAGTTAACTCTGTTAGTGCAAATCTCATCTCTACCAGTATCAGTTCTACAAATGTATTTTATGAGAGCTTTGCCCACCAATTCATACTCTGCTAAGGAATCAAAAACATCCCATAGCTAAAAACAGTAAGTCATTTATCTGACACCTCAGTCACAGAGGGCTGCTGAGACAGGTAATGTGTTCCCTTTCACTCACAAAAACAGCAGAGCAACCTACTCTGCCATGCAAGAAAGTGAGGATTCATGAAAGCAAAGATTCAGAAAAAATACTTACTCATTCCAGAACTGAATCCACTGAGGCCATGTCAGAAATAAATCAAACAAAACTGAAGTTCTTCAAAAATCTCCTTGCAGTAGCTGAAAAGAAAAATCTGAACCACTTCTTTCAAGCAGAAAAACAAAAGCAAAACTAGATACATGCACATGGAAGGAAAGAACCACAGAGGTCCTTTCTACACTTTTCTGTCTCTTTAATATCCCAATCTCTTTACTTCATACATGCTGAGAAAATGCTGTGGAAGCCCTGAACTGAATTAACATTTATTCCATGAATCCAGCAGATATGGGGGAAAAGGCATTATAAAGAAATACACACAATCAAATAGATTTCATTATTATTGTCTCACTGAAAAAAAAAAATCTATCTTCTTCTGGGGCTTGTAATAGCCTTACTCCTACCCATTCACAGTAAGAGTGAAACAGCAATCCTTTGGGAACAACAACAACAAAAGAAATGAAGTGACAAATACATGTTGGAATTGTTCAACGTGTGTAAAATACTACTAAATGCCTTGAACATTTTTGAGGAGAACAGCTGGAATAGTTCACAAATATGAAATAAAACCAAGCTATATTCACTATTTTTAACCAAAAGAAGACTTAAGAAATCTATTGCCTATATACTGCTCTCTCACCCACACCACAGTCCCTTCAAGTACTTAACAGTGAAAAGTAAAGCTGGGGGAAGCAGAATAGACAAAATATTTTACAAATGTTTCATCTGCTGCAGAGCACCCTTATGTCCCTGTACTCCCAAGGTTTCTCATACAGTGCTGGAATTAGGGTTGCTGCTTTCCTACTAATGCATGTATCTTCCACACCCTGGAAAAACTTTGTTAAGGAGATATAAGAATCTAAAGTGCTTTTAAAAGTAATGAAACTTAAAAAGAATATTTTAGTAGTGACAATTCTGTTTAGCCTGTGTACTCAGCTTGTGTACTCAACAGTATAGCACAGCTTTTGGAACTAATTCAGGTGAACTGTTCAGAATAAACTTCTTTTCCTGGCATGTGTCAGCTCCTTAGAAGTCAATGAGAACACTTCCATACCTGTTGCTGTCCACCTGAAAGGCAGCTGCCAGCTTTTGCAAATACTCCATTAAAAGAAAAAATAAGTGAGAATCTTAGTAACTTAGCATGGTAAACACATTTTCATGTTTCCAACAAATGTGCAGCACAGCAAACATTGCATTATGTGTCACCACATGACAGAGTGAATTCATAGTTGCAAACAAAAATTTAACAGTAAGTAAAGCCATTCATATGTTTGAGGGGAAAATATGCATTACAAAAATAAAATGTGACCAAGAATATAAAATACATAATTAAAATTTGGAGGGGGGAGGGGAATCTGCAAAAGAACTCCCCCTGTGTTACAGGATTGCATTTTTGTGAGTTCTTTCCAAGGAAGTTCCTCATAACAATAAACTGACTGTAACTGATGCAGTGGTAAAAATATCATTCTAAGTCAGCCACAGGCAGATTCTCAGAAAAAGATGATTAACAAAGGCTGCTTTCATTCTGAAGGCTTGAAGGTTTTGTTATCTGTAAGGATTGCCTAAGAACAGATAAGAGAGAGAGAGACACTAAGACAGCTGTTCCATGCCTGGAAATAAAGTTGAGGGATATCAATCTCCAAATATTAGCCTGAAAAGAAGAAAAGTTGACCATGTAAAGAGAAATTAAAAGAAAGCAAAGAATTTCCCATCAAAAGCCATTCCTTTTCAAGCCAGCCCACTTTAATACATTATTGAGGTTACCTCACTTTGATGTATTTGCTTCAGCATAAGTTTAAGTACAGGAAAATGCAGAGCACGGAAAAAAGCAGACATGCTTATTTTCAGTAAAAGAAAAAGCTTTGAAAGCCTCTCCCAGTCCTGTCAGCTGCAAATAAAGTTTCTGTTTGGGAAATGTGATATAAAGCTTCTTCAAAGATTCACAGGCAAAAAGTGAATACTGTTTAGATCATCAAATAGCCTCTGTATAAAAACAAAACCAAGAATTATCGCTCCTGCTGGGGTCGTTCTGAAAACGTAACGAGAGGCTTGGTACACGGGCACCAACACACATAATGAATAATTTCAGCAGCAAATAAACCAAATCCTACATTTAGAGAAACCTCCCATTTAAATGTATCTCCAGATCATTAGAAAATACTTGTCCGTAAATCTAGTTTCTGTAAAACCACGGCAGATGCAAAGAAACTATTTAATACAGTCAAGTAACAGCTGTTGCATTAATTTAAAATTACCCTTTATTTTTCACAAGTTTTTCCAACATGTTGTGCATTTTGGCACGGTAGACTTTGAGACAGCTTCAAGTTTCTTTAAATTACAAACAGTAGATACAGTAGGAATATTTTAAACCAATTTCTTTAAAATAAATGTCAAGTTAAGACCCTTAGCTTTAAAAGAGAGACTGCCACCATTTCATCTTCCTGATACAAAATTCAAGTAATTTTAAGAGTAGAAAATTGTCTCTAGAAAACATCCTATTATTACAATTTACCAGCGTTCTGAAAATAAACATCAAATTTCCAGTATCAATTGGGTGCAATTACACACTTAGAAAAATAACTCACTTTAAATGAAGGTCACTTGCTGAAGAAAAGTAAGTTTTCAACATGATGAGTTCTCAAAACAAATGATAAAGCATTTTTTCCTTGGATAAATGATTTAATCCTTGTTCCATCTCTGCAATTAATTTATTTTTTTCTTCTAAAGTGTACATTTCAGTATTGAAAATGAATTCAGGAAACAGGCTACGGACATCTTTTCCCTTCAGTATATACTGGCTTATGCAATTATTGCTTATCTGAAACAACTGTAAACAAGATGCACTTCATTTTGTTTTTATGTTGCAATTTTTCATTGGTTGGCACCAAATACACAGACCACACAAACTTTAGCTGTGCCACTTCACTAAATGAAAACCAGGGTCATTTTATCCGATGATTTTCTATCTAGAGTTGTTTGGGTTTGGTTTTTTTCCAACGAAGAAAAGGGTTCACTATGCTTTTCCATTTTCCCTCCTTACCTACTCTTTAGGACAGCAGAATGGAAAAACAAGCAGGACATGTTTATTTGTGACTGAAGGCTCAGAGCAGACATCGAGGATTCTTCGACAATACCAGAACATTTTCCGGTTTTCATTCTTTTAGCCCAAAGTACCTTTGTTGTGTAGGAACAGGAACTTAAAGTTTCCTTTATCACCATCTTCCAGAAGAAATCTATAAATAAATGTTTGTGTAAAGAACACTGCTGTTGAAGAGGGCAAAAAAAAAAAAATTAAGGATCAATAAATGATACTGCAATGTATCTTGTGCCATTCAAGATAGGAAGTCCTTCGTGTAAATGTGTAAGTCTTCCTGGGTGCATGAAACTCCATCCTTTCCTGGGAGACTCAATGGAGCAGTTGTACCTAAGAAATTTACATCCACCTCCCTGCAGTAAAAACACAAACAGAACAAAACCCTAAACATTTATCTTGTGTTTTAATAGAGTAAGTTCTGTTTTATACATCCATGACTTCAAATATTTTACTATTATTAATAGGCAGTCAATTTTTTTCTTTTACTATCCCATAACAAGGTTATTTAAATGACACCATCTTTAGGGCATTGCACAACAGACATGCATCTGCAATCAAAGATTTCCCCTTGCTTTGCTTTAGCATTTGCTGGATAACATCTCACTCAAGCAGCACCTCTGACAAACATCTTCAATAACTTTATGGGAGGGAAGCAAATCATGTTCACAGGCTTTGTTTCAGGACTGCACCCCTAACCAGGATAGCATTTAAACAAGTCTCAAATGAATCAATCTGGCTGCTGCTTTCAAACTGAGGGTGTGCTTTTTAGAGTAGTAACTGTGGCAAGCAAATTTATGGGTGTTAAGGACTATGGATGATACAGGCTTATAAACACAACAGGTTAAGCTCCTCTATTAGTCAAAGCTGGACATTACTGCCACTGCCCTGCCTAGCTCTGTACTCTGAGGACTGTTTTATTTGAATCAGTATCAGAGTAGAAAATAATTTAGCTCAGAAAAAAACTATACAGGCAAAAGAGTTGAAAATTTTTGTTCTGTGGCTGATCTAAAAGAGAGCCATTAAAAAAGTTCTACAGAAAAGAAGCCATTCGAGTCAACTTGGCCCTATTTAAACATGTACAGCAATGAAGCAATTCAGAAATATTAAAAATGAAATGGTTAGCATCTCCAAAGCTTTTCTTTAAACCCGTTCTCTCCCACCATCTGAAGCCAGTTTGATCAATTCAGCCTGACTGCACCAACAGTTCTGAATCCTGCAATTGAGCAGATTTAGTACTTATCAAAAAACACCCAGGCATTGTATATCCCAATTTGTGATGTGCATCATCAGTCTCTAAGAGCGTGCATTTGGGCACTAGTTTGACAATAATATTGGACACTCCAAGGAAAACATCTTTCAACATTTTTTAAGTAAGTTGTGAACTTACTTGAAAGTCCTCTCCTACTTTGTTGAGAGCGATGTTGATTGTGAATGTGGAGGAATCATGATGAGGTCTGAGGGATCGTTGTCTGTCAGGGCTGTATTTCACAACAAAGTTCAGTAAAGCATACCCCTGAAATAAAATACACAGTCAGACTTTGGGCTGTGAACTGCCAAGTCACATACAGGATTCTTGGGATTTTTTCAAGATTAGTTAAAAAAAGAAAAAAAAAACAGCAACATTCCTTTATAACTACTGCTGTGACATGTACAAACTCCCCAACAAAACCAAATAGGGTAATTCAATAACATTCTTAAATTTAGTCATGCCATGGAGTAATTACCTGCAAAAGCTTTATCCCCATACCTTGGTATAGTAGCCAGCAAACACTTTCAGCGTTACTGGTGCAATGAACTCTCTTATGAAATGCAGCCACTCATTATCCAGTCCGATTTGCTTCATATGAATGTCATCAGTTGGGACATTTTCATAACCTCCAGAAATGCGGCTGTCCTAATGAAAACACCGCAAACAGCCACCAAATATGAACATGGAATGTTTCTGACATTCCTGCAAATATTTATTTGAAACCTGCAGAATCACAGAACTGCAACAAAGCAATACTTCAGTAAGCATATGTTAGCTTGCTAAATAGTAAATTCCATAGCTAACTGCCATAGAAATACCCTGAGATATTAACAAGGAGAAACTGGAAATTTTTTAAAGGATGAGTCAATATTTGGATGTGTTGCCTGTAAGTAAGCTTCTTGGGGCAGTGGTTTAATTTATTGAGTTGCAGATGGAACTGAAGTTGTATCACACTAAGAGAGTACAGGCCTCAACTTGAAATGGCAATAAACACTGAAATAACTTGAAGATAAAAGTACGGTAAAGTCCTTTCTGGAGGCTCCTACCTTCAGTAATTTGTGACTACAATTATTCTCATTTCCATGGTACCACATCTGTTAATTAGTCAAATAAAATCCTCTCATTTTAGTGGTAGTTAATAAATACCTTGAATTTTCTAAAAACACTGGCACAATATCTCATAACATCCCCCTTAGGGGGATGAATTTTACAAATTAGTACATAAGCAGTAAATCAGTAAAACTTGTGGAATAGTTATCAACAGCTATCCAAAAATCAGCCTTGGGTAACTGTCAGGTAACTACCACAGACACTGCACTACTCTCAGTGTCCAGTTTGCTTAACTCATGAGCCTTTCACTCTATTTTCTCTCCCCGTTCAGCTGAGGAGGGCAGTGATGGAGTGGCCCTGGGGTCCAGCCAGGGTCAACAAGATTAACTGAAGAACATCTCTAAGTCTATTGAACAAGCAGCTACATGGCAGACAAAACTAAGCATTTTATACCACAAAGCAGAGGTTTCAGGTCATTGGCAATGGTTGGAATATTTTTTGTTGCAGTACACTGTGACTTACTATTGTAAAGGTACTCGCTCATTAAGGTCATGTTTATATAGGCTAACACTTACTTGGTGTTTTCCACCAGACCATTGTCCAAAATGTTCCATTTCTTCTACCAGTTCGTCACAGGCAGCATCAGAAAATATGGGAAACCAAAACACATCTGGGCATGGCTACAAAGAAAATAAAATTTAAAGAATTGATCCACAAGTGCAGTCTCACAAGAGCAAAGACTACGAGCTACCTCCTAAGCCATGACCCAGCATTAACAGCTGTGTCAGTGTACCCACACATTCTGTGCCTTATGGCTCTGAATAACAACCTGATCCTCTACATTACAAGCTATTAGGAGGAACAGTTTAAAATTTAACATTGTTTTAAACACAAAAACAATTTATCACAGATCCTTAAGGAAGCAAAGCTCATTAAGTCACTGTCCCTAATTGTCACAGAGCTCATCATCCAACACAAGTGCTCTGTCCAGATCACCTGCCTGAAAGCAAGAAGCCTGGGCCAAATGGACCATCATGGCAAACATTAATTTCTGATCCAAAACATAAAACAACCTGTTCAGTCACAGACCAAAACCGTGTGCCAATTTACTATCAATCAGTACCACAGATTTTTAGAAAACTACTTATACCCACCTGTTCTACTATATTATCAGTGAAGATCTTTGAGTAGTTTGGATTTATATAAGTTTCCTTCCAGTCCTAAAAAACACATGATTTTAAAACATTACAACAAAACAAACAAATTGAAGTGACAACAAATAACTTAAAATTTATTTATTTGCTCTACTGAAAGCATTAAAACAATTAAACAATTTCTTATACCCATAAAAAATTTGGTTCTTATGTCAAAACTCACGAAACCTGTTACATCAGGGCCATACCTCCAGCTCCTTACTCTCATCACCAGTTAACTTATTGCTATATTGTCATTTGCTTAGATGGGTCACAGAGAACACCTTTGAGCACATAATCAATATTTGGTGCATAGTAGACAAATGCTCTCCATAAAAAGTCTTTCAACCTAAGCCCTTTACAATATATAAACTTTACTTTGTTTAAAATAAAATAACTAGTCAATAATTAGATGCATACCACAGGATTTTCAAATATCTGCCAGAGGTCATTGTTGTAGTGGGAGGTGTTGTAATTGGCTGTAGAAAGAAGTCTTCCAAATTCATGTCTGTTGGTAATGTACATGAAAACACCCTATGCCAAGTAGAGAAAGCATCCATTAGCAAAACTGTCCATCCTAGCAATACCAAGTTTTTAAAAAGTCTGTTTATGACTGCACTTCCATAAAACACATCACACACTTGTACACACACATTATACATGCTGATCATTTAGCATCCTAATTTTCAAATGGTTGACTCTAATCACCAGCTACTGTTCATAATATTTTCTTTACCAGCATTCAGTTGCATTATTTTCTAAAAACATTAAACTGAAACATATATTGTTGAGAACATAAAACCATGTACAGTTACAGAAAGGGAAAAACAGAGAAGCGGTTGGTTGATTTGTTTTCCAGAAAACCTAAGCAGACACACTGGAAGCATCTGTTCTCAAGCTGAAAATGCTCACACAAGACAACCAACATCTAGGGTTTGTTTCCAATTAAAAACTGAAAGAATAAGCTAACGATCGAAGGGCTCTTGAAAGTCAGAACAAGAAACTTATTTCAGAGTATTCACTACGTGATCCGTCTGGTGAATTGGCCTGAAATAAAAAAGATATTGGCAAATACAGCATACAAGAATGTTCAGATCAGCATACAAAACAGCTGAGCACTCTGAAGTCTGGTCACAGAATTATGTGCAAGATGTGAAGTGTGGTAAGACACAGCTTAATTATCAAGCTATTAACACAAGATATTAACAGAACTCTCTTGATTAGAAATAGTAGTAGAAAATATAGTTTTAAAAAGAAACTTAGGTTCTGTGGGACTATTTTAGTTTACAGTTTTTCAGACTAAAACTTCATTTCTGAAAGGTTTGTGACTTTTTGGATTTGCAGCGGATGAAGACATCACAATTTGGGCACTTTGGTATTTCTGTCTATGTTTTCGTCTGAAAAAGAGTTAAACTGTTAGAGAGATAATGATTATGTTAAACACGCCCAGTTTTGGGCGCTTACCAAATCATCAAATAGCTGCAGCAAGGAGAATAAGGAGGGCCTGGGTCAAGAAATACAGCTTAAAGTAACAGTGTGGTCACTGAGGGGGCCTTGGCAGACATGGGTGGTTTGAGCTTTACTCCTTCCTGAGACTGCTGAGTCAGCTTTAGCTCCAGAGGCAGTGTCAGCACACCTTGACCTCAGAGGCACTGAGAAACCTCCCTGGGGAAACAATGAGCCTCTCTAAGATGCTTTCAGCTGGTCATGAAGAACCTGTCCCTGGCAAAAACTTGACCCTTAGAAGGCTGAAGAGAAAGCTAGAGCAGTATTTCATTAGAGTGAGGGGACAGAAGAGAAGTATCTTCCTGTGGTAGAATAATACTGCATGTAATAATAACTCATTAATAAAAAAAATAAAGCAAAACCTTTGGGGGTCTGAGCATATGGAATGTTTCCGAAGAAGGGGAGTCTTTTTCCCTTTGTAAAGTCTAAAATGAAGGAGAATCATCACATCAGTTTTCTGATACATAATCTTTCTCTTTTTCTGACTAACAGTAGGTTTCCACAGTCACATCAGGTAAACAGCAGCCTTTGCTCTGCAGCTGATATGCCTTTACAGACAACATGCATCTCCAAGCAAAGCTCTCCATACACATGTCCAAGCTGTTTCCACCAGCCCCTTCTTATCTGCTGCCAATACAAAACCAAGCACATACCAGACCATCCTACAGCCCAGACCCAGAAAGAGGAAAAGAGAAAGCCATTTTCTGAGAAGCCAGTCAGATTAGTTTAATGAGCACATGGAAAGCACAAGTTGGCAATAATTGATGCTGAGGAGGTTTGAATACAACAGGATTGGACAGGGACGTTCTGAGGAATCAGTACAAACAAAGGGGATCATGCCTTGTTATGAGGGAATAAAAAAAAAATCAATACTTGCCAACTTTTCTTGTTCAATTCAGCAAAATTATTTTTCAATGCTATAGTGTCTGGAAATAGGTCTGGTTTAGGTCTTATTTGTTTCTGTGCTGAAACTAGTGTAAATATCAGTAGAAATGTGGATTTACATATTCATAACTTTACAGTACAAATACGTTTTCTCTCAGTACTTACAGCTCAATGCAAGGAACACATTTCTGATACAGTTTTTATCTATCTAGAAAACTTAATGAGAAGATTCCTTTAAGAAGATTCCTACCATTTGATAAATGATTTAGGCTTTTCATATAACATTGCTCACCATTATTTTAAATATATACCTACTTAGATAAAAAACTTGCAAAATATTCCAATTTAGTCTTCAACAAGTTCCACACTGTATAAAAACATGCATAAAAGAGATGGTCCAAATGCATTGGTAAGTTTTAAATAAAACACAGCAGAGAAGTTGAGCCCTCTCATCTGTTGAGGTTGTGCCAAGGTATTTTAACCTCAATGGAAATTTCCAGGGAATTTAACTAGAAGCCATCATGCAGTCAATGCACTGGCTTTGCAAAAGCCTCTGTTCTCAACAATTTAAAGAAATAAACCTAAAGTGTTCTATCTCACAAAAATTGGCCAGTACTTTAAATTAGAATTAAAATATAATATCCAAGCTCAATCAAGTCAAGCAGTGAGGTACAGCAGGACACGAGCCGTGTGTGTATCTGAAAGCAAGCTGCTGTAGATACTCCTTACCATTTCCCTGGCATTCCTGCAGAGTGCCATGTCAGGATCCAGCTTATCACGCAGGAAGTAGTTCTTTTCTTTCATCTCTGACCTGAGAGTTTCTCCCTTAATTAAGTATATATTAGCCATGTAAGGGATATTCCATACTCCTCTGTTGAAAAAAAAGAAAAAAACAAAAACAAACCCAACACATACAAATAGTTTAAAGCTATGAAAACTAATTTGTTGCCTATTCTATTAAATCAGGATCTCTGTATCTGCTGACAAGACTAAGCAATTTGCAAGGAGAAGAAGCTGAAAGGTTCCCAAGACACTTGAAAAACTACATCTGGACATCTCCAACATAGGCATAGGCAGTAATTCAATTTTTATGAAGAATTGAGAGGTAAAATTCTCTATAGAGTTTTAACTACAAATGTACTTCATGTTTCCATAGTTAAAGCAATCAGTCAAACTCTCTTAAAATATTATTCTACACTGCCAGATGGAGAAAGTAATTCCAAAACAGATTTTTAAAGGAGTTTAAAGACTTCACTGAGACTTCACACAGCTGGTCTGACCTCCTCACACAAATACCCCTGGACCACAGCAGGCTGTGTATCTCTGTGAGCTGGGCCAATATCAACACAAAAGCATTGCTTTCAGAATGCTCACTCTGCAGATTTCCTCCCTCTCAGCACCACCAGCACATCCTTCAGTACAGCTGAGAACAAGCCAGTCCTATTCAAGCAGTCAATCTGTTTCTGACCTTCCTGTTCCTCCAGAGCAATGAAAAGGCATCACCACGTGGGAAAGTCAAGCTTGGAACAACTTACATCACATTCATTTAGGGGAAGGATAAACCCAAAAGTTTATCCTTGACCGAAGTTTTGCTGAAATGCTCCTCAAGATATATCTGACATAATATGCAGGATGAAACACACAAAGAAATTACAGTTGTTCCACGGGTTAAGCATTTGTCCCAAAGAGATGACAAAGTCATTTGTTGAATGCAGCAATCATTCCTTTTGGCTGAGGTTCCAGGGACACAGAATTTTGAGGTTGCTGTTTGTTTGTCCTGCCTTTTCCTGCATTGTGCAGTGCTAGAGTAATCAGACACAAACAGACCAGCACTAGAAATGGCTGTGTCCAGTACTATCCCCTGCTCATTAGGTTAAGCACTTTGCCTTTTTTTTTTTCCCAAGCTGAATGGGAAATAACAAGTGTATTTCTATGAAATCAAAAATGCAAACCCATATCACTACCCTGAGATCTTCAGGAATTATACCAGATTCTTACATTTTCGTGCAATATGTTGCTAATAACCATACTGGGTGCCTTGGCTTTAACAATCAGCTTACAGCTACTTACACTCTGTTCCCCTGGACAATATCAACATAATCTTCTGATCTGGCATAGTAGCCATCTGGGCTCAAAGCACCCCAGAAATTGGACCAAAGCTTCCCATGCCGAGTCACGAGCGGAGCAATTATCTTCCTGTGGAGTGACACATCGAATGAGAAAGCATCAAACTCTGAAGCACTGGAAATTCACATCAGGAACTGCTGCTTGACAGGTACAAAATGCTTTGTGAATTGTTGGTCTCCAAGCCTGTTATGAACTACAGCAATGAAATACCACAGGTAAGCAAAGAGGATCTAACTCTGTGGGAACAGAGGGGATCTTATTTCCTCTGGATGGGCCCCAGGCAATCCTTTCCACCCAAAGGAAATTCTACAAAATGAGAAATATACTACACCTGTTCTGTTCTATCAGTATTCTCAAAGTTTTTGGGTTTGTCAGCACAACATCTGCATCGATGCTTAAGTAATATTCACATGCTTTATCCTGGCGACAAAGGTCCCTGAAAAGACAAAAAAAAGAATTAGTAACTCCCATGTGTCCAGGAAAAAAAAACCAAACAAAACCACAAATAACAAAAGAGATAAAAAACCCAAACCACAACAACTCTACTAATTCGCTGCATTAAAAGCCCTCTGCAGCACAGTATTGTAAAGAAAGGTGTGTTTAGGTTACAGTAGAGTGATTAACAGAAAGAAAAGTTAAATACATGGCCTTATATTTTTCTCTTAATAAACTAAGTGACTTCTAACCTTTACCAAGTTCAGTAATACCTACTATACAGTGTCCTAATGGAAAGTGGGGAGGGGGAATCATGCCAGTAATTTATATAGTGAAGTATGAGTAAGCTCCTCTAGCAAGTAACTGCATGTGGTTGTAATAATATCTTTGAAAAAAGATTCTACAGATGTGATCTGCTGATCTGAACAGTAATTAAAACCTTATGGAGGGTGTAAGACAAAAAGTATAAAGAAATGTACATTTAAAGACCTTTTCTTTGTCTTTTTTTGTGACTTACAAGAACAACAGGGTTGCTAAAGAGAAATATAAACAAACTGCACAGGCAGTGCATGGAAATTAGAAAAAGTAATTGAATTTGTCCACACACTATTTCTATGTTACTATTTTGATCTCAGAAGAATAAACTATCTGTGAGACTCCCAGGCCTTCAAGAGAAAGCTGCCACCAAGCAGAAAATACATTCTACTGTAAATATAAACAATACATGGACCACATTTCTATGTTTCTGTCAGGGTACACTTGCTAGGCTATACCTGCTATAGTGAATTTAGCTTTCCTATGCCATCAGAACAGCAGAGATTACAGTAAATCAAATATAATTTTTAGAGAAAGTGGAACAATTTCCTCAAGTCAATACTACAGCAGTAGCTTCCTATCATGCAGGTGGTAGTATTGATTTTGTGTATTTTCCCTATTTTAATTCCATCGTAACAGTTTGAAACACTAAAATTATTTTACATTCTTCTTCTAAAATACCTATAAATACTGCTTTAGTTTAAGTTCCACTTGATTTGATTGACTGTGACCGTTTTCTGCAAAGGAAAAGATCTCTGTCACTTCAGAAGATCTGATGAACACTGGATGTGACAGGTTACATACAAATAAAGACAACGGCTGGCAGGGCTTCCTCCCTGCTCTGCTTCCCCTCCCTACCACTGCCTAGCACTAAATGTTCCACAAGAACTACTTATCAACACCTCTTAGGTCTTTTTGTTCAAACTTTCTTCTGCACAAAGGACTGAAGAGGTGTAACTTGGTTAGAATCACAGAAAGCAGAGTTTTTTTATTCCATAAATTTAAGCCATCCTTCCTCTTCAAGTCTGATCACCAAAGATGTGATAATGATTTGAGATAAATTTTTAAGATACCCAAATGTCAGAAATGGTCTTCCCCCCACTGCTGAAATCACTGGGTTTGGACAACACCCTCAGTTTAAATCTTCCCTCTGTCATTTGAGGCAAAAACTAGAGACTTTCCTCTATCTTATGCATACATTCTTATGGCAGAAATTCCTTAATCAGAACTTTCACACATAATTGCCCCAGTGGAAACCATCAGGTTTTATTTTGGCCATAACATGGTCCTACAATTCAGACTTTATGACATTATCCATTACTAACCTATTCTGTTCTAAGCTTTATAACTACTGAATGCAATTTAGATGTAGCTTTATCACTTGCTTAATTACAATTACTAATAGTAACCTGACTTTTATACTGCACTTGGTACTGGATTTTAATTTTCTTCCAAAAACATTCAGCTCCTTTGTCATTATTCTAATGAGGAAAATAAACCTAAGAGACCAACAGACTTGATGCCAGTCCAGGGTTCCAGCCACAACACTGGCCAGCACATCTGCAAAAGCACATAAACTATTTGCTGCTGAGAAAAACATGAATGGAATTATTGTTTTTAATTACAAACATGTGATAAAGTAGAACAGATGTATAGTTAGTTGTAGGTAAACATAACTGGAAAGTTAATTAAATAATAGCAAAATTAATTATCCTTCAACTTTTGTCTCTTTTTTTTTGCATCCCCATTCCCTTTAAATCCAGGACCAAAGAATTCTATTACAATTGGTCTCATGTGCTTAGTGTTAGAAATCCTCCTGTTCTTCATTCACACAGTAATCCAAACCACAAAATACTAAAAAGCTTTGGTCTAAGTCACATTCATTCATTCAGAAATCTATTGAGAACTCTTTCAAAGCATTACTGTCTTAAATAGTCCAGAAACGTTAAAATTACCATCCTTACTTATTTTTTCCTCCTATTTCTTTCTCTACAGCATTGAAGACTGGATCACCAAATGGCAAAACTCATTCTTCACATCTGACATGATGACTTGTATCTGAAAATGCTGGGAGAATCGTGCTTTAAAACATCACGTTTTGCCATTTGGTGATCCTTTTGTGCTTTAAGCTCACTAACAAAAATCTCCCTAAAACACTGCTAAGACAGTGATAAAGCAAGCATACTCTCAAGATTGAAATTCAGGCATCTTCTCTTTAGGCTTTCAGTGTTGCCAAGCAGCTTCCTCAAGGAAATAAATGTAATCCTGAATATTGTCATGCTTTAAAGTATTACGTTCTACAGCACATGTCAACCTCTCCAGGTGCAGAAATCCCAGGTCATGTGTGACACTATTTGCTGTGCATATCCAGGTCACTGCAAGGAACAAGTGGAAGGTGCTTTCTAGCAATGCTCATAGGTATTGTAATACACTTTCTTACCTAAATTCAATGGCTAAAACTTTCAGACTACTTGATTTACACTCCACCTGCTCTAAACTAAGACCAAATGTTGAAAAGAAAGCTGTGTTCTTGTACACAGAGTAATTTCAGTGTAATGATTAACAAAAATTTAGAAGGCGGCCAAGATTTTTTAGTTGGAAGTGTAAAGTGAAGCTCAGCAGATCAGTTTAAAGCATTTTGCAATCAGAGTGATGTTTGACTTCATTTACAAACCACAAACCCATCTGGAACAGTGACCTCATCTGAAAACGGGAAAGTGTCACTGTTCCCTTCCTCATACTTTCCACTGAGATATTCCAAAGAATTAGTTGTTTATAACAGTGAGACATATTGTCTACCCAATTTCTTTGCCAGTGAGCCACCTTCTTTTTTGACATATTTTGAACTTGCAATTAACCAAGTTACTGTTTTTACACCCCTCATTTTGAAAATACAATTCCAAACTTGGACTAAAAGCCCAAAGTGAGAGCACTTAAATCATCTGACAGATCCCTGAAAGAAAAGGTGTTCCAGATACAAGACTTCATTCAACACCCACTGAAAGACATCACCTGCCATTTAGGGTTACATTTTGCATCTCTCCAGGCAACCACAACAGTATTAAGAAACTCTTATCAACCATCACTAAAAACAAACAAATGTAGCAGAAAACAGCACTAATGTTTGGTTTGGCCTCTCATGCTTAAGTATTGTTACCACAGTCACCACACCTGGAAGCTACAGAAATCAGGAACAGGTGGAAAAGTTGTTTTTTCTGCAACACTCAAAATTCAAAATATTCCTCCTCCACCTGAGGCTGAAACCCAGAACTGCTGAAGTGTTTTGGAGCAGCAGCTCCAGAAAATCCAAGTGTCTAATGGAAAACAGGTGAATCTCGGAGCCAAAGATTTAATCCCTGCTCTTACTTCAACCACAGCCAAGATGCTTGCCCTACTCAAAGGGCTGCAAGGGGGTTCTCCTGTGTCCATGCCTTTGTTTAGCAAATCCAAATGGGAGCTCAGAGACAATGATTTAATCTCCTCCTTCAAGAAACACATAGGAAATCCCAAATTTAGCTCAACATTCAACACAGCGTTGCCAATGAACTCTGATTCTGATCTACTCTTCCTGAAACTTTGGAACGCTTTCAATGTAAACTTTCATTAAAATGTAAACATTACCACTAAAAGCTGAGGTGAAAGAATTTTTTTTTCTTTTAAGTTAAGGAAAAACTCTAGGCAGTTCTGTTACTAACGTTTTTGAGGGAGGAGAAAAAAGAATCAACGCCCCCAAAAGAAAAACCCTGAAGACTAAGTACTGGAGGAAAACTATCATGGAAAGTAAAAAACTATTTATAAATAAAGCCTCAGAAATGCATGAGATAAATTCCCATATTTCCTGACTTTCTGTTATTGCTTGAACATATTTAATTGCTATTTTATGTTTTCTGTCATAACAAATTCTGTAATTTCAGCTGGCTGAAATCTCATCTGCAACCAAGGCAAAAATTACAGATTTTTTTTCTTAAAGAAAAAAAGAACGAACTGTAAGAACTATACCTTATAGACAAAGGCTATCAAACGAACAAACAAAACCAAAAACAAACAAACAACAACAACAAATAAAACATATGACAAACAACACACATGGATGGAAATGCTAGTGTTTTGAGTGATGTACATTCAGGGAAAATCATGGAGTTCAGCCTAAATGGATAGCATTTTTATTTATTTAGCATGCTAAATATGCACTTAAATTCCTGTTTTTATCCATAGATCAAGCAAAGACCACACATCAAAAAGCTCTCTCACACTATAAGTAGGTAGAGTCTATCAAAAGATGGCAGGTTCAAAGACCTTTGGGTGAGATTCAGTCACAGTACAGGTGGTGACTACACTGAAGATTCTGCTTTATGTTGTCCACACAGCAACAAAGAGGAAAAGGCAACTCCAGAATCTCCACCTCAGGTACACATAACATACACTAAAAAGAGTTTGCAAACATGGCACATTTGCTTTAGAGACTATTAGAAATTAAGAAAAGAATGATTTCTAAACAAGTGAATGGCTGTGTAGACTAACACTGGACATCTGCAGCATTCCCAGAAAGGCGAGGGGAGCGGCTTGGATCTCAGCCAGAGCCCAAGTGGCTCCAGCACAACAAAGCCCCATTTAAACAAATTTCCAAGAACATCACAGAAGCTCAAGACTAGACCTTCATTCTTTCAGCTGATGCCATGAACAGCCTGTGCTTTGCTCTTAAGCTCTGAACAGAAAATGGCCTTTTGAAAATAATTTCCCTGCTCTGACACTCACGGAGGATTTGGTAGAAGAGAGAGTGAAAGAATTAGGACAGAATGAAGCTGCTCAGGGGCCACCTGGGGCCCTGATCTCGGTGGGATCCTGGCCTGTAAAACTCTGTAATGTGAATGATGTCCTGGGAGAGCCACAGGCAACTCTGTGGCAGCAGCCAGTGCTAAAGCCACCAAAAAGACCTCTGAGGTTCAGATTTAGGCCTGGCAAGTGCCAGGTTTAAAACCTAAAAAAAAAAAAAAATAAAAAAAATAAAAAGGCAAGACAAAGGGTAAGATAAAGTCAGTTGCCTTTTGCAAGTCTTGGTTTTGTCGTTTGTTTGTTTTTTTCCCCCACTGGAAGCAGAAACTAGATCACTTCAAAAAAACATTCCTGCCTCTTTGAACCACAGGAAGAAATATAATTCTGTCACCTGTACACCCAGATCAAGCCTTAACTGTATGTTTACTTAAATATAATATCACTTAAGAAAAAGAGTAGGGACTAGAACAACCAAAGTGTGATTATTAAAAGCATATCCAATGCAACAGGTACTTCTCTTCCATGAAAAGTAAGTTAGCTTGAAAATGTTTTGAATAAAAAACAAAAATAAAACAAATACTATTGTTTATGCATTGTCTATGCCTCCATCAGAAGATGAGACTATTAAGTAGTCCAAACCAGAGAGATGTTTTCATAATGACTAAAAGCTTTTTATATTAGACAAAACCATAAAACACTCAACAGTTCATATCTTATGTCTGGATCTTTTCTACCAAAAAAAGCTCCCACTTTCATATCTGAAAATGCGAAGTTGTTAATGGTTAAGATGCAAAATAACATAGATGTAAGATGAAAACATGCTAATGGTGTGCATCAATAGAACATATTCATAAATTAGAACTTACATTCCCATGTTTCGGGCTTCTGCTTGACTCAGATTTTCTTCAGGTCCAACAATTTTTATACTTTTGATAACATTCTTGGCTTTTTCCCAGAATTTCTTGATGTGCTTTTCGTGGTAAACCTCCTGTAATCATGTTAACATTGTTTATAGCAGATGTAAAGCACACTGCTATGAAATCATAAACATAAGTGTCCAAGAACACATTGTATTCTGCCCTAAAGAAACAGATGCCAAACATTTAAAATAAAGCTCTTCTGTCCAAAATTTTAGCAAAATAATCCAACACATCAGCAACATTAATCAAAGTTGTACGATGATGCAAGATTCCCAGACTGTTTATGCAATATTTTTCAGGATATTTATGTTACAATCCTTAAAACCCATCCTACAACCTCACACAGGAGTTTTTCATGCCAATCCAAATCACTTTAGAGAGGGAGCTGCCACCTGTACCAAAGTGTGCAGGCACAGTCACTGTTTCTTTAAAATGTAGTCACATGGTCACCCTGATTGTTTCTTTAATTTCTATTTACCCCACCTCCATTTACAGGAGCTGAGCTGCATGCAACACTTCCCAAACAGTACCTGCACTGTGGCTTCTACCCATTATGCCTGATTTTAGAGTAATTAAAACACTGGGTAGGGCTTTTCCTCCCACTATAATAAAAAGCTATTCAGTCTTTATACTCATTTCAAATACCATAGGACTTCTGGCTGAAGCAACAAAATAGCCCACAATTCCTCTGTGCATGTCACATTTATACCTTTAACATCCCCTTAGGAAAGCACACTGAAGGCTTTAAAGATAAGCTCTATTTCCATTACTTATCCCCTTCATGCTATCCTATCAACAGTAATGCACACACAGGGAAAAGAGGGACAATTATGTTTTACTCCCATTTCTCTTCCAGCCCAGCTTCTTCCAAAAGAATTGTACACGTTTCCATATACTCCATATACTCCCTCTCTCACTTTGATTCATCAATAATTTCCAACACTGCAGTTTTGCACAGCAGTAATGTCACACTTACGTTATTGTGAACGAAGATACTGAGTGCCTCCCGTGGGTAGTCCAGAGTCAACAGTCTGTCTAAAAATTTAGGTAGGAAAGGAGTTGGTTGTTCAATGAAAACACCAATTTTTACTCTTGGATATTCCTAAAAAAAATGATATTTTGACATAACCAATAAGATTTGCCTCCTTTCTAAGATTAGTTATATTAAAGAGCAACTAATGTCACGTTGTAGTAAATTCAGTCCACACAGCTTTCAAGCAATCAAAACCATCTAGCTCAAAAGTGCTATGTGCCCTGTTTATTTTCACTGGCTTCACGAAAAAGCAAAAATAATGGATTTAATATTGCTAAAAAATTCTTTGAATTCGAGTAACAAACTGGAAGCAGAAAATAATGTATTATTGTGTTTAAAATTCTTACTTTGAAAGAATACTAAAAGACCAAAAGAAGCATTTAAGGAAATATACCTAGAATGGCATGGCAAACTCATTTTTTGAAAATAACACACATAAGTTACATTTACAAGAAAATATAAAGAAGACTAGTTTTTTAAAAATAGTTAAAGAATAAATACCACAAAATATTTTAGTCATTTGTCCTTTAAGATGAAAACTGCAGTACCATTCTGTAAATATATATGCACTGCTCCTCCCTGATCACTTTAAGTGGGCTTTGCATTACTTCCCAACTCACTGATTTCAGGAAGACCTTTGATAAACTACTTAGAGATTCTCTCCTCACATCCAAAGATATTGAACCTTTATCCACCTTATTTTAATGTGAATTCACATCTTTTGAACAGTGGTATTAATTCCTGGTGTGGAATTCTGTGCTCGATAGAGATCATAACCACTAAAACAAACACTGACAGCACCTTTGTGCTTTGTGTATTCCTAAAGTGTAGTATTACATTATGCAAGACAAAGAGATTTAACCTCCAGAGGCCTCAACTCCTACACAAAGAAATACATTGATTTAACAAAAATTATTTCCATCTCAAACCCAGACAATTATTATAAACATCTAATCCACTACAAGGCTCAGAGAGAAACCTTATACGAGTATAAAAGGCTGCCAGTTAGCTTTCCTTAGCTTTCCAACACCCACTTGAGGAGTGCCTGGATAAACCATCAACACATGCTGAGATTTTACAGGGTCAGTGTCTGCATCGGAAATCCAGAAACGTCCTGGCCAAGGCAGCAGATCGGAAACAGCAGGCACCAGTGCTTACCCTGACCATCTCCGTTCCCAGCTTCATCTGCAAACCTAATGGCACTCACAGGGAGATCCTAATAACTCCAAATAATTGATGGAGACATGTTGATGTGTCTTGAAACAGAGTGGTGTCACAGGAACGGGTACCACTGATGGAAGGAACGTGCCATCGGACCAAGCTGGGCACACACCTGTGCTGCCAGTGCCACAGCACTGCAATAACTGTGTCCTGTCACTCTCCCCTTATTCTCTAGGACAAAGGGAAGTGGGCTCAGGTTGGGCCTGCAAAGATTTACAGGGAGTGAGGAATTACTGACACTGCTTCAGCACACTGAACCACTTGGCTCTGCACTAAAACCTCAGGAGCGTGACCAAAGCAAAATAGTGTTTACAAAATTAAGAGTAACAATTCCTGTAAACTGTATCTTCCCAAAGCAGAGTTCATCAGTGTAGACCTTGGTTTACCACAGAGTTGTCACTGCATAATCTGAATCTACATTACAAGTATTTTGAGTATATTAAGTCAGAGGTTTTGGTTCTTCCCAGTTGTGCCTCAGCAAAAACACACTGGAAACACACAGTCTGCACCAGGAGGTTACATTTCCACTGGCAGATTTTCTCTGACTTTTAAAGTTTACTTTTTCACAAGCAGTAGTTGAGCACGTGACAATTTTTGGAAGAAATACAGGACAATGTCTCAGTAAGACTACACAGAGCAAAGTCCCAGGTCTCTTGACACAGAAGTTGCCAGTGAAGTGAGGGGATGAGTGAGGTCATCCTTTCCAGATGCACCGGGAAGTCTTCATAGCAGTAGCAAGGTTTAGGATTTAAGAAGCAGTTCTAGGGAGATTAAGTTTGTCGTCCAGTTTAGTTTAAGTTTTAGGGAAAAAATGAAAAAAATAAAGAAAAAACCCAACACCTTAAGAAAAGTGGCAAAAGTTTACATTTTTGTCCAGGTGCATTCTTCAACTTACTTTCCATTACCCTGCTTTTACCTGAAGAGATAACTGACTTGGGGGTGGCACAAGCTGCTGACACTACCAGATGAAAGCAGTTACTGAGTGTTTCCACACCTCAGCCAGGATCACTGCCCAGGAGATCCTGTTTCTCTGAAGGGCACAAGGACAGAGCAAAAGACTCTGCACATGAAGCTTTCAGCTCCTTTGAACATAACTCCAAAAAACCAAGCAAAATCCTCAGAAGATAGGAGTGTATAAATGCAGAAAGTTAAATAAAACAATATGGGGAAAATTACTAGAGTGGTACTGCTGTTTTCACTGAGGATTTCTTGTCAAGTAGCAACCAAGCAGGTCTGAACAGAAAGCACATTCAGAAAATGAAATACTGCTTGTGCTTCGAAATGCCTGAAGTAAACACTTCCACCGGGGCCAAGAAACGTCTTGTTATTTCTACTGGCAGAGTGAGTGAGGTATGGAGGCCAAAGAATGCACTCCAGTAAAGACACATTCCAAGGAGATGTACAGAAACCATAGGGAGTCATCCAGTAAATCACTGCAAGCCGCTCCCCATTACTGGTTTAACTGCTCCCTCACCCACGTTTGAATTACCAACACCATCAGAAAAAACTCAGACAACTTGCTTTCCTCAAGTAAATTTTATGATGTGAGGGCAAACATTATTTCATTAGATCACCATTCAAATGTTGTATCTTAAAAACAAAAATGAAATTTAAAAATATTTTGAATATCTGAAAGTTATTACAATCCCAGCAATGAAGATTGGAAGGCTTTTGGGGATGGGATCATCTTCGGTAATATTGGGGAAACCTGTATTAAAGCTACTGATTATTTCAGTAACTTAGAATTTCATCTTTACATTTTCACGTACTAGAAAAAAGGTGCTGAAGTGTCTAAGAAACAATATTGCATAACAAAGCCAGTTTGCCTCAGAAATCACTATACACCTCTCAGCTGTATTCAAAAATGGGTTTGTTCCAGACAGGAGTGTTCTTACCGTTACTGTTGACAGGTCCAGTAAGTCTAAATCACAAACACTGCAGCCAGTTTCCCGTGTCCAAGCATTAGGAATGTAGTTTCCCAAATAATTCAAGTGAATCTGGTAAATAAATAAGCAATTCAGATGAGTGAAACATGTATGCAAATGATGATCTGTACCTTTAAATGATTCAGGCTTATTCTTTAATCTCTTGTAACTAAAGGTAACTGAAAAGAAACAAACACACAAAAATAGGTGGTATAAACTTTTTCTTACTCTTTTCATTTACAAAACAGATTACATGCATACCATAAAGTCTACAAAAATGAATATTTCATAAAAAGGACATTGCACTTGAGGTAAAAAATATAAGTATTTCATGGTGAGGATAATTTGGTACCCATTTCAAAAAGTGTCTCTAACCAATGCTGCTTACTAACCTGCAAATTGGAGAGATTAAATATGAAACAGAAGTATCTTATAAACAAAAAACTTTTAACTGTGTGGAATAAATTCTGGGAATTACTTTCACGCTAGTTTCTTTACTAACTAATGAAAATTTTTCCATTCCTAGTATACTATTGTCCTCTTAATTCAATTCTAAGTTTAAAAGAGAAGAATCTAACCACATTGACAAAGTGATGCATAGTAAGAGTTTCCTCTTTGTTTTTAAAACCACATCACTACATGCAGAGATTGAGTTTTGCTGAATGTATCATAACTCATGGATTAGTATAAGAAGTTCCACCCTGAACTGTGTGCCCAGCTATAAAATACAGAACTTTTCTTTGGCAATGTCTCAGCAAAGCCGGTGATGACAGATAACTTCAGGATTTAATTGAGGCAAAAATAACTGTAGCAATATGGAAGAAACTGGTCATGTATTTCAGCACTAGTAATTACAAACCAAACCGATAATGGCATCATTATACTCACTAATTCCAAAGATGAAATGCAGTGCAAAAACTCAGAAGCAGCCATCTCTGGGATATTAATGAGTTTCAAACCAAATTCTCCTGAAAGCCATCTTTTCTGAAAACAAGGATCTAGCTATGGTAAGAATCACTTATTCAGAAGGACTCAAAGTAGCCATGCCCAATCCTTCCACCACCAGATGCTCCTGTAAATGATACCCCCTTACACTTCTCCAACACAGAGCAGAAAAATGCAACTGCCATGCTACCAAAACACAGCCATTTCTCTCAGAGAAACCGTGCAAGGTTCACTGGAGCCCTGAATCCTTACACCTGAACAGAATGTGTCACAACAGCTGTTTCACAGGGCAGAGAGGGCTGTACCGTGAACCCACAGCTCACAAGCCATGGGCACATCACAGGCAGTGCTTACTGACACTGCACAACAACAAAAGCCAGCCACACACATAGAGGTTGGTGGTTTTTTTGGCCTGTAATCTATATATTTTTTTTATATATGTATACACACCCCCAGGTCTCTGGTAGGAATGGATGTGTTACTGTTTTGTATCCCAGACTGTCACTCCTGGTTAGATTATCCTCCCCCTGAAAAATCTCTTCTTCTGATTACAGTTTAATAACCAGGCAGACATTCATCACCAGCTTCAAGAACTGTTTTGTGTTAGTGAACAAATTAACATAAGCTTACTCTCTCCTAATATCCCATGCTGCAACGAATTTGGGAGCAGAACAACAGCAGAATGATAGCAGAGAGCTCTCGGAATGGGGGTTTTATCCTTGCAATTCCTAATAATACTAAATGGAAATGTGTAGTGGTGGTTCCTTTGACTGCTTCAGGTACTTCTACCACTGGTAGGGTTTTTTTTTTTGCTTATATTTAAAATTGTGGGTTTGCAAGAAAATAAAAACCAAACTGCCACTCACTTTAGTTGGACCATTTCCATGAATGGTGACTGGTAGTGTGTCATACACTGAATTCCTTGCTCTTACTCTGCCTTCTTCAAATTTCAAAAGGACTTCATCTGTAAATCAAAACCATACAGTAATAAGTTCGTAAATAAGAGCTAAAATTTCAGAGTTCTCAAAGTCTATCTGATACAATACAGCTTGCTGTTGCTATCATCAGTGTTACTTATTCAGAAGGTTTTTTTTTCATTTTATTTTTTTAATTAGATCTTGAATTCTGAGATCTTAATGCTAAATAAGGTGACATAAAACCTCATCAGCAGCCTTCAGTATTGGAATAAAATCTGCTTAAAAATAATTCCAATGTAGCACAAATGCTATTTATAGAGAAATCATAGTTACTTCAGATGTGATCTGACCATAAAATGTTGTTCCATAACTGGAGGTTAAATGCAAGAAAGCAAGTTTGCACAGATGCATTTTCCTATTTAAATTCATGACATTTGAATAAAGGAACTTCTACATTATTCCACATTGCATTTCATTATGTATAGCCACTTGCTTGAGAACATCTAAAATGCAATTTTAATCACCTATCTTACTCCTGTAGTTAGGTTTGTGAAAGTTTGTGAAAATTTTTCTTAATTCTGTATTTACTGCTAACTTAATTTATTAAAACACTATTTTTCTATTTTAAATCAAATATTTTATCAACATGAGAAATCAATTAATTAATTAATATTCAACTGAAAAGACCTGTAACTAATCTGCTAATCAGGTCTACCCATCCAAATATTTCCTTAAAACAAGCATATGTTTAAGGAACTACATTCATGGTTAAGCAAAGAAAGTGTTAATAACAGTTAATAAAACACACAGTGTGCAAATCATACACTTACCAACAGCTCCATTTAGGGTCTGGAAAATTGTACACTTGTGGTCCAAAGTGATGTTAATGCGTTCCTGAAATAAAAGCACCAAAGATGTTGAGGCATTCTAAAAGCCAATATTTTTACAGTAATATTGCAATTATACCAGAGTGGCAGCAAGTAATCAGGGAAAACTGGGCTACATGTTCACCACTTAAATACAATTCTTTATTTTATAATTCTTTTTTTGAATTCCAGAGCTGTGCAGCTATATAACAACTTTTATATATGCAGAAACTTTAAAGTTGAAGGATAAAGGTCAAAACTCTCCAAAGAAACAGCACTTTAGCAGCACAAGCCAAAGAAAATTTCTGTCTTAAGAAAATTATCAAGTCTTGTCCAAGCAACAAAACACACTGTGTTTCACAGTCTCAAAAGTACAAAAGTCAAATTTAAGTATCGTGTCAGAATAGAAAACACTAGTGGTTTTAAAACACGTTTCTGATGTTGTGTTATTAATCCTACCTCAATTCTTACTTTGAGTACCACGTTTTACCCTTTTTAAAAAGTTGATCAAAGTAGGTACCCTTTAAAACACAGTTAAAAACCCTTATACAGATAACATGTTTGTTTTGGTCTTCCAAACTGTTCTCACATCCTCTGCAGCACTGGGCATCACCACACAAGCAGCAGTGGCAAAGCACAGCAAGCACCATGCAGGCATTTGGAATCACAGTGCCTGGAACAGAGACACACATTTTTTGTCTGGAAGACAATCTGTTTAGACAACTAATTATATTACTCCTGACTTGGGTGCAGAGTCAGCTTTAATGTCTCTACACCCTGTCTTTTCAATTGCACGCCTGGCACCTGACTTCACTTCCATGAAATCAGTTCAAACGTTAAAGGCTGGAAGGAACATCTATGAGGAGCAGCTGAGGACTTGAGGTTTGTCTGGTTTGGAGGAGGTGGCTGAGGGGTCACCTCACTGCTCTCTGCAGCTTCCTGAGGAGGGGAAGGGGAGACTGAGGTGCTGAGCTGTTGGGAATGGCTCAAAGCTGTGCCAGAGGAGCTTCAGGCTGGACATCAGGAAGCATTTCTTTATGAAGAGGGTGGTAAAATCCTGAGTCAGGCTCTCTAGAGAGGTTGTCAATGCCCTCAGCCTCCCAAGCATTTAGAGGCAGTTGGACAAAGACATTAACAACATGCTTTAGCTTTTGGTCAGTCCTGTACTGGTCAGCCAGTTGGACTAGATGGTCACTGTAGGTCCCTTCCAACAGCAATATTCTATTCTATTTCTGATCCTGCATCCAAATAGACATGATTTTCCATTAAGTTAAGCCAGAAAAAACATGTATATATTTCAAAAATTTTGCATCTGCCTTAAGCATACAAATTATCAAAATAATTTTAAAAATTCTGTTTTATCAGCTTCTAAAAGTCTTTTTGCATGAATACACTGTTAACTTTCCTTAGCCCTCTTTTTCCAGCAGCAGGGAATGCCTCTGACATCCATCCTGCTTTAATGCTGCTACTCAGCAGAGAACTTTGTTAAGCTGGGGCACAAAGAGGTCTTCAGCAAAAATTTACGATGCAGCTTTATTGAACATATTTGCACAAAAAGCTGAAGGCAGGATCTGAAATGGCAGCAAGCCAAAGTATAAAACACTGGTTCAGCAAGTAGTTTAGTGACACCCTGGAAAAATGCCACATTCCCTGGCCATCAAACTGCCAAGTACCTGGGACCCTCATTGAGATGAATGTGTCTGATCATATCCCTCAGAACTACTATTTCTAACAGTGAAGCACAACCTGCCTGGATCTGAAGACAGCCCCAAATAATAGATCAAGTCACGACCCTTGGGAAGCCTGTTCATCATTCCTGCAGCAGGAACCTCAGGAGAGCAAACACAACTGTCAATACGGCACTCGGAATAAAGAGACAGCATTCCTTTTCTTTTTATCTCCTGGGGTTTTGGGAGGAGCAGCGTGTTATTTCAAGCAGAAAGAAATGAGGAAGCCATTCACTACCTACCCTTGCCAGTGGGTCAACATAGATTTTGGTGTAGAACAGCTGGTCATCATCATTATCCTGCAGATTCCATTGCTGCACGATACGATTTATAGATGGAGCATAACCAATAAATCCTGCAACATCACACACACAGAGGTTATTTCCATAAAAAGCACTCCCCTGCCAATGCTGTCCACCAGTCAGGGACTTCATTCTGACTGGTGCCAGCAAAGGAAAAGTATGAAATTCATACAATTGGGCTCAGAATCCAGTTTTCTTCCTGTGATATGTAACAGTTCCGTTTCAAAGAGCTCATAATTAATGGCAAAAATAATACTTTTATTCTAAAGGTATTTTAAGGGAAAAATTAAAACAGATCTGTTTAGGATGGTCCTGAGAACACCAAAGAGATCAGACTACCACTTTTCTCAAGAAGCCCATCTGTGGAAAAAGTTTGATATTCATCGATCACTTCTTACTGGCAGAGATGCCTGAATGTAATACTGCCAGAAATATGAAAAGAATTCAACTCAAAACCAATATATATTATCTTTAAACCAAAAGAAAAAGAAAGACAGGGCAGATAGGTGAGGTAAAGGGGGAGGCAAAGAAACAGGGACACTCCCAGACCTCCATACTGCCCAACTCCATGTACCTAGAGGTGACATACTGTGCTCTGCAGCACTTATAGAGTATCAGTGTCAGGGCATGTATTAATCAACTGCAAAATTATTACCAAAACTGGCATTTAGATGAGGATTCCACAATTAACCCATCATTGAATTTAACAGGAGTAACTCCCCCTCCTTTTGGAATGAGCCATGTAAGCCGTGCTGACAGGCTGGGCACATCTCCCCTGCCTGCAGAGATCCACAAGAACAAGGCAGCCCATCAGGAAATTCTGACCCAGCTAAACTGCACCTACAAATAATAACTGTGCTGCTCTGGCTGGGCTTGAACACTGCATTGTTTCTGAAGCAATTGGGTCATCCTTGCACAGCATTTCCTTGCAGTGCACAATTGCTTGCTAAGCTGTCACTTTATTTACCTGCTTTTTGGAAGTTATTGCCAAGCAAACTATGCAAATTCAAAGGAAAACTATGCTTGAGCAAAGAAGGGCAGCTATTCAAGTGGGAAGGAGAGGGGAAGAAGAGGACAGCAAACTCAGTCCTCAGTTTTATACTTGGGGAATTCAGGAACAGCTCCACGTACAAATACATTAAACAGATAACAGAAGTGAGTCACGTTCAAGTTCAAGAGTTTAATGTGTTCACAAGAGGATCACACTTGCCTCCTGAGTTCAGGAATCGTTTCCCACTCCGGACAACAGGATACTTGTCAGCTAGCCTTTTGTCTGGCCAAATTAGTCCATCTGCTGCAAACACCACTTTATGATTAGTTTCCTGAAATTTCTTTAGGAGCTCTTCAGGGCCCCCTGCAAAGATAACATCATAGCTGAAAAGGAAAGCAAATACATCCATTAGATTACTTTCATTTCAATGCTTCTGTGTCAAAAACAAAAAATCATTGGGACTATTCAAATTTTACAAATCAAACAGCCCTTTTATTCTGAAAAATTACTCAAATCATGTTTTACCACCATGTAAAAAAAATTTATACCTTTCTAGGAGAAAAATTTCAATCAACACTATTTATCCAATACAGTTTCCCCTTCTGCTTTTTAACCTCCCATATTTTGGACATTCTTTTTCTTTCAGATTTTGTCTGCCTGAAATCGATTTTCCTAATTCAGCTATTTTGAGAAAAAAAAAAATCCCTTTAGAAAACTGCTTATATCTTTAAGAACAGCAACTAAAAAAAAAAAAAAGCAAAACAGATGAAAATAGGACTGAAAGATGATTTAGGTGACTTTCACTGGGAAACTCTAGATGACCTTGTTCCAAAACACAATAGCACTGACTCTTCAGAAAAGTATTATTCAGAATGAATTTAGATCTCAATAAAGTCTAGTTGCACATAAACTGTGTTGCATCCTGACAATACACAGATTTCTCTCTAAGCCTCTTTAATGTGCTGAAGACCTTAAAGGCTCTAAACATCACGACATGTATTTATGAAAAACTTCACCTGCCCTTATGTGTTGATCAGATTTGACTCTCAGTTCCTACTGAGGACAAAGACCCAAAGGTGGAGGGCTCATCTTCAGCAGTTACCCACAGCCAAAGGTCAGCACTACCCCAAAACAGGCAGAAATCTGCATGGGGCTGGCACAGGTCATGTAAGAATGTGGCATCACGAGCTTAGTGGTTTCTTGTTGTTGCACCATATCTACATCAATGCCTCGGAGGGAGGGGTGGAGCACAGCCAACCAAACCAAACAAACAAAACCACACACAGAAACCAAACCAAAACCTCAAAATACATACAAATTATTAAAATATTCACAGTGTATAGTTTCTTTTTCGTACTTGAGATCCACGTATAAAAGCATTATTCACAGAATGGTTTGGGTTGGAAGGGACCTTAAAGATCATCTATTTCCAATCCCCCCACCACGAGCAGGGATGCCACACACTAGCCCAGTTTGCTCAAAGGCCCATCCAACCTGGCCCAGAACACTGCCAGGGATGGAACATCCACAGTTTCTCTGGGTAATCTGTGCCAGTGCCTCCCACTTCAAGGTTCACTTTACACAGCATGAAGAATGACACAGTGAAATTGGAATCACGTCACAGATTAGTCTCTGGCTGAAGAAGCACGATAGTTTAATTTAATGGCAGCATCTCAGCCTCAAAGTTTCCTCATCTGAATACAGGTATATTCTTATTCCACACAGGTACCTTAGTAATTAAAATCATCAGCCCTGATAATGGGCAAAGGAATGGCACAGCTGCCAAAAATCAAGGTCTAACCTTGACCAAGATGTTTTTTCTTGCAAAGTCTTTTAGCTGCAGCAGCTTTTAGCTCACAGTGCACAGAACTTCCTGATTTGCAATTTATTATTACACAGCAATAGTGCCAACAGATCAACCATTACTGACTTATGGTACTCCTTTATTATAGTTCTGAAGTTGTTCAAAATGCCTTTAGTTCAAAGAGGAATTCATGAAATTGGCCTAAGAGAAGTAACAACAGCTGGCTTACAAATGCAAAGGATTTTCACCACAAAGCAAAGTATGAACCCTGGAGAGGAAGTGTGTTATGTAGTCTATATAAGTAAGTGGGTTTCTGAAAACTCTCACTGTTATGTTTTTCTGTAACTTTGGCAGAAGAATGCAGGAAAGAAATATTGTACATTTTGGAGTTTCCCCAGTTTTGCAAAAAATGCCTGTTTCTGCCCAAGTATACAGGAACACACTTCACTCTCTTTTCCATTCGGTTTCTGTAGCCTGATTGAGTGCCAGAATGAGCCTGTAGAACATGCAAGAAACAGGAGACGAGTCGAAGGCAGACAAAAAGAGATTTGTCTGAGGCTTCAACTTAATAGCTTATGGCAGGCTGTGCTTCTCCTCTTTGATCAGGTTAGTGCTGCTGCTGCTATGACTTACAGCTGCAGGAAGGAACCAAAGAAGCCTGGAACATTGCTTCCTAGGACTGTCATTCTGGAAAAGAAAGCCAAAGTTGAGCAACATGCTGGGCCAGCCACAGGCTCTGTTTGTGAAAGGGATATGCTACTTAATACAGTGCAGTTTATAATCCAAAGCACAGCACTGAGCTGCTAAACTGCAATGGATATTGTGCAGGAGTAGTAATCCAGCATAAGCCTGCATTTTCCATTAATGTTCAAGGCTCTCTGTTTTATCAAGAGGTGATTTACTGCCACCACTCCTCTTCCTGGGCAGGACCTCCACCAGCCTTCTGCCCCTTGCTGCCAGTGTCCTCATCAGCTGCTTCATGAGGCTCCCACTTTCCTCTCCAGTCTACACCACAAAGACCATCATAAAACAGGTCCCAGGACTATCCTTGACAGTTTGCACTGTTATTATGGGTGATGCACATGGCTTGCTTTACACAGGACTTCAAAATTTGAGAGGGAAGAGTGTGGATACACGCAGGGAAAAGCAGCCTTCCTTGGCAAGCAGGGAAAGCTCAGATCCTCTTATTTATTCTTCAAAATTCCTTCTGATTAAGTAGAAAGCAAGGGGAAAAAAAGAACCCAAAAAGTTTCCACAAGCCAATCCCCTTTCCTGAGGCTCCCAGATGGCAGTGGCTTGGGAGTGGAACCTCCCTGTGTGTCCTCCTTTTGCAGCAGCAAAGCACGCTGGCAATGCCCCCAGCAACACGGGAAACAGCAACAGTGACTCGGGGCCTCTAACACTGCCATGCAATTTCTGCATCCACAACTTTTATATCAGTGAGAACTTATTACTGTTGGAGCTGCAGATTAAGAGCTCAAAATACAAAAGAGAGAGGGCCCACTAGTGACAAGCAATTCAGGTCCCCTCTCTCATCTGTCTTAGCTGCATTGTGCAGCCACACAGCTGTTTTGTCACCTACACTGTATCCCCACCAGGATCACACCTCAAACATTCTGAGATATGTTTATCCCTTAAGTTGTTAAAACATAACATTTTAACAAATGTCAGAAAAACAACCACAAAACAAAACAAAAAACCAAACAGCAAACCGAGAGGCTTCAAAACTCTTCCACGATACAAAGAGATGGCTGTGGGAGTTCTGGGTGAACAGTCACAGCACCAACCAATTTATCCAGTCTATACTGGCCATTAGCCAGTTCAATCTGAAATGGTCCAAAATAAACCAGAAGTTAGCTCAAGCAAAAAAAAAAGCCTCGCTTAAATGAGGTTCCCTCTGCAGACACTTTTCTATCTACACCTAGACACGAACTGTCCACAAAAGAAGCTCAAACTATTTCCAGAATTCTGAGCTATTTAACAAACTGCTTAAAAATAAAAAAAACCCAAGAAACTAAGCTTGTTAAGTAAACAGTTCCCTAGAAATTATTTGCCTAGTTACAGTAAGCAAACCAGACATTTCCTTTCCCCACCCCCAAGATTAATATTCCAAATGCTTCACAACGAATATAATAAGAAACACTTGAAGAAGAAAGGAAGTTCATGACACTTGTCTTTTCCAAACTTACTGCTACATTGATCAACATTTAAGCTGCAAACCAGGATTTCTGGAAACAAAAAAGCTCATTAGAATTAAAATATAATGCTAGAATCAGCAAACTATTTTTTTCTACTATCTGGAAACAGTTCCACCAGTTTTAAATAAATATGTACTTGGGATTATGGGCCTCAAGAATTTGTGAGGCCTTATATCCTGTGATTTTTCATGGTAAGAAAGATTATTGCCTCTGCACTTTGACACACGTGGTCCTCTGTACTCTCTCCTCCAAGCCAGCAGAACAGCCTGCCCCTCAGGAGAATAAATTATGTTGGAAAGAAATTTGAGCTTTACCCTGATAGCACTCTGAGAGCAAATTTGCATATTTTACTATATAGGAAGAAAATAATGAATCAGGATAATAAACATGAAAACAAAGAAATTCAATAGAAGTTGAAAACATTTGGGAAATGTTTGATTTATCTGAGCTTTAGTAAAGAATAAAATTTTACAAATTAATCTTCTAAAGTTTCAGCTATTGCATAATTAGTAGGATAAATATATTACATGTTTGTTCATAATGTTATTTTTAGAAAGATCCTTTTTCCACTTAGTAAATGCAAAATTGATCAAGTCAATAACAAAAAAAATTTCAAAACCTGAATGTCTACCTCCGAACTGTGTTACCTTTACAGTCAACTTGGTATACAAAGAAAATCTTCAGCATAAGTGTCCCTTATAATGCTTATTTATAAATTGCTGAAGATGATTTAGATTTCTGGCTTCCTAGGTCCATCTTCAACTCATCACAAGAGGTAAAATTGGAACAAAAAAATTAGTAACATCTTTGAATTTGCTACCAGTTTAGTAGGCTACTCCAACTTTCCTGAAGTGATAACTTCAGCTAAACAACAAATTAACTTTCCATAAAATGCTACTGCCCAACCACTTTCTGTCTTATGATGATGTCTGCTGTATAAATCCTACCAGAACTCTACCTTGAAAAAGTGTCCCTAAACTTCTTCTGCTGGCAGATTTGAATAAATAAATAAATAGAACAAGTTAAAAGCTGAAAGACAATTCTGGAGCAGGCATTCCAGTATGACTGGATAACAGCAGTGTGAACCCATGTGTGCATCTCTCCAACTCAGCCTCTCCAAGCCTGCCTGTCTGCAGAGCTTCTTTCCCCTCCTTCAAGGCTTGGTTCCACATCTTCTTTGCAGAGATTAAAGCTGGGACCCTGCTCTGGTTAACTTTAGTGTGGAAGAGCTTGGTAGTTGCTGTAAGTTGAATTCTTAGCTACTGTGATCATGCTGTTGTCACAGGAGCAAAATAAGAGGAGGAAGAGGAGGAGGAGAAGAAAACGCAGAGGGAAGCAATGGAAAGAGTGTGATTTGAACATGTTTGAGCTCCACGTTTTCTGTGACAGGGAGAAACCTATCTGGCCTCCAGGGAGGATGTTCAAGCATAGCTGTGCTATGAGCTATCATCTGGCACCTGCAGACAGCAGGACTGTCTCTCCATCCTTCTAGCACCCAGACAGGACAGGCACCAGGGGTACCACTGGCACCAAGTCTCTTGTCTCAGGACTCTAACGTATAAAAGAAGTTCTCCTGTTAAATGCTTTCCTCAGGGACCCATTTTCCAGCTTCCTCCATATCACTATAGCTTTATGGAACAAGATTACGCCTCTAGTCCCTGCTGGCCTCTTTATTTCTGGAGCTGCTTTTGCTCCCCCCATTCACACTCCCAGCCTGCAGCCACATCCTGCTCTCACCACAGCTGAACAAGGAGAGGGCAAACACTTGCCTAAAAGCCTGTCAGCTCTCAATAACATTTTTTCACCCCCTTGAGGCAGCAGAACTATGAACAACTCTTACATCTGTAAATCCGTCAAAAAAGTAATGATTGCTCCAAAAGCAATCTACTATTTTTATGAATGAAGGAAAATAGAGGCAAACTCTCTCAAATAAAACAACGAGGAGGAAAAGCAGCGTGCAGCTTTCAGCAAGTCACAGCAGCTGCTTTTGCAAGCCTGCCCAGACTAAAATATAAAGACAAGAAGACAGGTTTGCTCACCACTCAACAAACAACACAACCAGGTCCTCCTGAGCAGCATAGCGCTCTATGCCTTCTTTCAGCAGTCGAACCTTCTGCCCTCCACCAATAGAGTTGGGCAGCTCTCCCCCTTTCCACTCTTCACCTTTTCCAAGAACCTGCAATAAGAAAAAAAAGAAAAGCACTTTTTGCTAGTCCCCAAAACCATGAGGCTTTTTTTAAAGCAGGCCCTTATTAAAAACAGATGCTAAAGCAGAAGCAACACACCAAGGCATAGCAAGCCAGCATTTCCAGCATGGTAAGTTTTCCATGTCTGAAGCAGCATTCAGCACAATGACATCACTGCAAAAACATGAAAGAGACATTTCTTAACCAAATAAGAATCGAGCAATTGCCTATTACTGCCATTTATTCCAGTGTGTCTCCTTCCAAAAAAAAAAAAAAAAGGCAAGAATTGTACCAAAATTTCTATTAGAAAAACATTCTGAATGAGACCTTTAAAATTCAATATAATCATTTTAGGAACAGGAGGCTCAAGAGACTTTGGTGGATCAGGGTATAATTAATTCAAATTGCAAGCTCCAGTCTTTTTGCACAAAAAAGGAAGGACAGGTTCCCCACTATACAGCTCACTGCTAAAAATCAGCTAATCAAAAAATTCCCCCCAAGCCAAGTACTATAGCAGATTACCCATCAAAAAAAAAAGAAAAAAATAAACTCTTTATGGGTTTTGAACACAGTATTTTTGGAACGTATAAAGGCTGGAAGAACTACATTGCCTAATGTTTCAGACAAATCTGCAAAGCTAAGAGATGTACCCAGAGCTCAGGCTTCCCAGGTGCTTTAGTACAGCTTTGTCATACTCAGAAAGGTTCTCCCAGTCCTTGAAATTCAGTGGTAGAAGTCAAACGTTAGAGACCCAAATAATTTCCTATTTATAGTGCAGGCACTGTGGTAAGTAAGCTGAAAAATTTCATAACACCATATGAATTCCTGGATTTTCTCTTGGCAGAACCAATTTGTGGAGAAAGTTTAGAAGGTTGGTGCCCTCCCTTTTCCCAAGGTCATGCAGAGGCCAGCCTAAGAACGTGACATATGGGGGCGTGGAGTGAGGCAGAAAGGGCTGGTAAGAAGTACAGAAATGCATTGTCCTCTCAGAATTAGAGGTTCCTGGGAAACAGTGACATTTTCAGTTGTAACCCTCCCTCCTTCCTTGCAGCAGTGATCCAGCCTTTCTTGAGGAGAGAGATCCAAAGCCCTGTGAGCGCAGCACAGCTTCCAGCAGCACTCACGCAAACAAAAGTAGCCACACTGAAAAACAAGGCTCTATGATAAACCATGACAGGACCTGTGAGTGGCTGAGGATGCTGACCACGAGGGCTACAAATCTGTAAAGCAGCTCCTAAGGCAATGGAAGCATCTCCCTGCTGTGATGCTTCAGAGGGGGAGCAGCAGGTAAGCAACAGAGAGAGCAGCGAGTGCCCTCCCTGCCCCAAGCTCTGCCATTATTTTACTTTGTCCCAGCACAGAAGGAGGCTCAGACAAGGTCAGCTCCTCTTTCCTGGCTCTGTTCTGCAGCATGCACAGTGTGAATATTTGGCACAAAACGTGCAGTACCTCCACTGTGTAGTTGAAGTGCTTTGCAGTTCGCATGAAGCGGTGAAAGCCGTCGGTCTCTTTAGTGGCTACAGTAAAGACCAGCAGTTTATCTGGGGGAGAAAAATAAGGAACACGTATTAATATGTTTTCAGGGCACAGTTTATAAGGAAAAATGCATGGAACAGCCTGTACCTGCCTGTACCTCATTCAAATAGAGGAGGCAAATACACTGCCATATTATGGGCTTGAAACGTCACCAAACAAGAACTGCTATGGACAAGGGTGCTGCATTTAAAATTCTCCTTGGGAAAAGGAAGCAAATAAACCTGTCTACTCTTCAAATAACTAGTTCAAGGCAAAACCAATGCTAGTATGACTACTGGACAGGAAGGAATCTTCAAAGCAAAAATAACTTACTAGTTTTCAGTCTGAGCTAATCCTGTGACCTCTTACCACAGGACTGAATGGTGCCAGAGAACTTCACCCAACCTCAGTAACTCCCCTGAAAGCCTGTGGTTCATCCTCTTCATGAAAACAAGACAAAAAAACCAGCCATGGAAATCAGTCCCCCACAGAACAGCATTTAGTGCTTTTAAGTCCTTGGGCAGAGACAAAAGGGCAGGGGTTTGCTTGGTTGGTTTTTTTATTCAGAGCCTATGTACATTATAGCAGCAGTAATTTTGCCCTCTTACTGCATGCAGGCAAATGACCGTGCAACCCATTTCCTCTTCACATTCCAGAGCTTTTAACACAGTTCCAATGGGGTCACAAAATCCCACTGAACAGCTCCCCAGTTAAACTGTTAAACAACATTTAGAACCCTATGCGTTATGTTGAATAACTAAACCATGTAATTCAAAGCTATGAGGAGGACAGGGACCCCTGTCCAAAATCAAGTATTAAATCAGACCAGCCAGGATGCCAGAGAACACTGCAGTGCCCCAATTCAGCCCAAGTGCAAGCAGCAGCTGCCCTCTGAGCAGAGCCCATGAGATCTAATCCTTACAGGGAAATAAAATCAATCACCTACAATGAGCATTCCAGACACAGTGCTCGTTGCTGCTTCACTTTCTCAGAAAACCTCTGGATTTACCTTCATCAGCCTGGTAACATGTGCATGGAAAACACTCCTATTAACCCTTCAGCCTTGTCCACCACCGCAGGCTTAGCTGCCCTCAGACACCCCAGACATCATCCTAAGTATAAAAATCATTCACTGCTTGCCATTTTGTTCTATGTGACACCAGCAAAATTAACACACGAGATGATAATCCACTTCCCACTCTGTAGAAGAAATGCACCTTGCAAATGACTCATGTGATGCTCTGCAACCAAGTACCAGGGTACTTCAGATGTACCTCTGCTCAGTCAGGCAAACATACCTGTCAGAGCACAGAGCCTTTAGAGAAACATAAAGCTCTTGTTGCAATGAAATTCAAGTCTATCTGAAATAGCCACAGCAGCCAAACTCTGTAGATTAGTCTCAGGAGCCACCGGTACTGTCTGCACTGAAATAAAACTCCTGCCTGCAATCCAATGCACAGCAAAGAAGAAACTGGAAATAAATACTTCAAATGCTTCAATCAACTTGAACACCCAAAAATTTTGCTGGGACAGATTTGGAAGATAAATTGCTCCATCTTTATCCCACTTCAGTTTCAGCAGCCTTTTGGAGGCACGAGAAGAAAATCCCACAAGTAGGTCTCAAAAGGACAGGAGGACCTCCACAGAGGATTGCAATGCAAGGCATTCCCAGCCACACTGACTCAGAGACAGACACAAACGCAGCAATTATGGTTCAATACCTCCAAAATCATTTATTCTAAAGGTCATGCGATTTAAAGTAATTCTACAGAAGTCACCACAGAATGAATAAAGAACATGATATCTTAGACTATGACTAAAACAGAAGACAGAGAATAGGGTTTTCCTCTATGGAACAGATTAAATTATGACTTTTTTTTTTTTTTTGTTTAAGCACAACATTTTCAAATTACAGGGAACTGGAAAAATCTGATCACACCAGACTGCATCACCAAGCCAAGAGACTCCATTATTGAAAGTTTCCTAGGAGACCAGTCAAGCACTGACTAGAACTATGGAATTTGGTTTGGAGTAGGCATATTTCACACCTACACCTTCCTGAGGAATGCTAGCAACAAGGATTTCAAAGATCTGTGCTTGACAACATCATGTTAATGACAAAATGTGGGCTGCATCAGATTCCCTCCTTAGTCACTGAGTCAAAAAAAGTATTAAAGTAACATACAAGTACAGTTTGGCAAGGAAAAATAATCTACTGTTCTTTATGGGATATTGTTACTCTCTTAATGGAATACACATCATTCATGTATTTCAAGAATCACTGTGGGGCCTGGTATGTTACTTGACTTTTGTGGAACAGAAAGAGAATAACGTGCCAAAGCATAAGGGATTTCAACCTGAGCTATATAAAATGAAGAAAGCTGAGCAGACAAATAATGCAGTTTATATTGACATGAAAAAGCAAAAAAACCTGTATTGCACTGGCAGTCAATGAAAAAAATCTAAGCAGGCTGTCTGAATTGGGTTTGCAAACAGACACAGTACAAAAGAAAGCTATTTTTAAAGTTCATTATTCACACTGAAAATGTTTTCTTTTTAACATACTTGCCTATGGTCAATTTTTTCAAATTACAGATTAAAAGGTTTAAAAGGCTCTATTTTCATGTCTCTGTTGCACCGCTGACTTGTAGATGCATGTGGTACTTAAACAATTTTTAAGTGCAGCAGAAGTGTAATTACAGGATTTAAAGTCCCTTTAGAATTAGAGATTCTCTATAGATTACTTAGGCTTTGTTGTTTTGTGGGGTTGTATTTTTTTTGTTTGGGTTTGTTTAGTTTGTGGTGGTTTGTTTGGGTTTTTTAAAGTAAGCTGTGTCTGACCAAAGAGCAGAGAAACACGTTTGTATTCTATACATAGTGTGTATGGAGACACAATGCAAAGTGCATGAAATGAGAGTTACCTTGGCACATTATAGAGGGTATTATTAACCAAACGAGGAAAGCAGAACTATTTTCCTCTAGCTAATAAAATAATTAATTCCTGTAGGCTGCTGTGATTTTATTTAGATGTAAGTGACAACTTGCACAGTTTCACTGGCAGGCTTCCACTAAACATAGCATGGGAGATACTTGTTTCTTACAGTGGAAGTGAGTGAAGAGAATGCTTCTGGCCACTAAATACTTCTGATAATTTCTTTTTAACCTTTTAACTTCATTCACTTTGGAAAAATCTATTCCTTGCTCACTACGTTTGGGTCCAACAACCTCTTAGAACACTCGTCCCATTTGTGTTTAGCAACACAAACCCCAAGTGACTTCCACGATCGCACAGGAGCGTTACAGTGCAAGTTCAGCTCCCGAGGGAGTGAGTTTCCATTTCAGGATGTGCTGGGTACATCTCCCTCAGCTGCAGCCACCCACGGTGTCCCTGCCGTGCAGAGCAGGTCTGGCCCCACCACAAGCCCTGTGGGTGCAGAGGTTCAGGGCTGCCCCAGAGCCTCCCACACAGCAGCTGAGTGCCCAGCCCAGTGTCCCCAGCAGCCCAGTGTCCCAGCAGCATCACTGCTCCAGCTCCAGGGCTCCAGCAGGTGCCACGAACACCAGGTGTGGCAGTGGAAGATGCCTGCAATGACACAGACCACTGTGGCCCGGCACTCCCCAGTGAGAGTGCCACAAATCCCACCAGGATTTCCAGCTGCAGCTAGTCCCTGCTTCACCACCCACTCTGCACAAACCCCTGCCCTCCCCTGAGGTGTCCACCCTGAGGAGTTCTGTGTGCTCTTACACATAGGCTTGAGCTGGACAGTTGAAGTCTGACTGTCTCCTCCACACAAGGGGATTAATGCACACTCAGGAATATCTTCCAACAGGAACAGCATCCCCAAAGGGCAAACATATATGAAAACAAGAACACAGCAGGTGGCCACATTCCTTCCCACTCACATTCCTCTGAACTGGGATGCCACAGAGGGTACAGGCTGCCTGGAAGGGCTGGGCTACCCCAGCACACAGCCTGCCAGAGGCATCTTGGCAGTCACTGGAGGGGATTACCAAGCTTGGTATTTATTTCCACAAGTAAAGTCATTTTGTGTAAAAAGAAATGCAAACCCTATACTGAAGTTCAACAGCAAGGCATGAAAAAAAAATCTCCCAAGAGCTCCATGCCAGGTATGAGGGTGCTTAAGTTACTAGAATGCAATTTCTTCGGGCAGATTTCCAATAGTTACACCCACAAAACAGCTCTTCTGTTTTGAAAACAAGCCTGAGAGAGCATGTGTTTGGCCAAGGAAAGTATGTCCAGCAACAAACAGAATTTATTTTTATATGCAAATTCAGAAACCCTTTAGCACAGACAACACTGCATACAGAGCACATACAGCCCATTAGGAAATGTGGTGAAGGTTCATCCAAATATCTCCCTCTTCTACTCATTTTTTTGTGCTGCTTTCTTCAGGGACCTGGCTGCATCATAAGTATTTATTTCCAAAAATAGGAACAATAAACCAGAGCCTTTGTCTTCAGTGAATTGCCCAGCCAGGTCTCAGCCAGGAATTTCCAAGCAGGACTGCTTTAAGTAGCAGTGACCTTTCTCCTCGTATCCTGGCAAAGAGGCACGCAGAGAACTGCAGCCATTCCTCACACCCCCACATGGTTCTTATTTATCTTCAATGAGCACTGTCAGAGATTACTACATAATTTCTACCAGGGGTTGTGGGCACCATTACAGTAGATTGAGAGCAGCCAAAAGGGAGGATATTGCTCACAGCCACACGGAAGCTGACACTGAGCCCTTGGATTCAAGTACCATGGACTCCTCTGCAACAGAAGCAAGCAGGAAGATCAAAGGACATCTGTGCATGGTACCACATTCTGACATTAAAATCTATCTCTGCCTTTAAAACTTGTGGTTTATAATGGTAAACAAAGGATGTTTTGTACTTGTAATACATTTTTATCAATGTTCCAGTATCTACGTTAAACACAACCTACTTTCTCATTTGCACATTACATCCCACCCAGAGCTGCTCAACAGAGTAATGATTGTGTATACATCTCCCTGTTAAAT